AAATCATATATTCCATATTTATCTCAGGTTTCTGGTTGGGAGAAATATTTAGACATAGCAAGTTGTCAACAATTGCTGATTTGTTTCGCAAGTTATGACAGATAAAAAAAAGTATTGAACCTTCTGATCCTTTGTGGATGAGATACCACAAGAGGTTTGCAGATATACATAATCTTCTCAACAGATATTGTGTTAACAAAAATATTTGTGTGTGTGTGAAATTTGAAGAGACTTGAAGGTTTTGTTCACTTTCTTTAAGCGTTTTGTTTTTTCAAAATCTTGAACCCTTTGTGTGAGAGGTACCAAAAGGAGTAGGCCGATATATCCCATCTTCACATCAGATCTTGTGTTAGTAGAAATATTGGAATATGTGAAATATGAAGAGAATCGGATACTTATTTCGGATATTATTATCGTTTTGGTTGTTCAAAACTTTGACCCTTTGTGGGGGAGGTACCAAGAGAAATGGTCTGATCTCTACCATCTTTATGGCAGATCTTGTGGTGATAGAAATATTGAGATGTGCCAAGTCTGAATGGAATCGAAGGTAAATTTCGCATTTTATGAACTTCATGGATATTCAAAATTTGGATCCTTTGTGAGGGCTGTGCCAGAAGGAGTGGACCGACATCCATTTTCACAGCAAATCTTGTGTTAGTAGAAATAATAGAATGTGTGAAATATGAAGAGAATCGGGTGGTTATTTCAGATTTTATGATCGTTTTGCTTATTAAAATTATTGACCCTTGTGTAGGAAGTACCAGAAGGAATATTCCGATCTCTACCATCTTTATAACAGATCTTGTATTGATAGAAATATTGAGATGTGCCAAGACCGAATGGAATCGGATATTAATTTCGCGTTTTATGAGCTTCATGTATTTTCAATATGTTGACCCTTTGTGAGGGAGGTACCAGAAGGGGATCGACATATTCCGCCTTCACACCAGACCTTGGGTTATTAAAAATAATGTGGTGTGTGTAATTTGAAGTCAATCGGACTCTTACATCACCTTTTTTAAGAGTTATAATTACTCAAAATGTTGACCCTTTTCTGGGTGAGGTACTTGATGGAGGGGACCGATATTGGCCATTTTTGCACCTGAACTATCATTGACGCAAATCTTGGGATTTGAAGAGTTAAAGCAACATCAGATTATCGTTTCTCTTTCTGTGCAGATTTTTTTCTTTTTGAAAATCTCGACCTTTTGTGGGTGATATACCAGAAGGAGTGGACCGATATATTTAATTTTATCGCCAGACCTTGGGTTATCCATCAAGCTCTGTTGGGTTCCTGGACATTATAACATCCCAGGTAACGAGACTGCAGACGAATTGGCCAGGCTAGGATCCGAATCAACTACAATTGAAGTAGACAACTCGGTTAAACCACCACTGTGCCATTTCCTACAGGTTATTTACAGACATTACTCTGAGAAAATCCAACAAAAAATGGCTGGACGAAATGGGATGCACCATCCCCAAACGAATCTGGCCCAAACTCTCAGAGAAGAGAACAAGGTCGCTGATGTCATTGTCAAAACCTGTTTTAAAACTTGTGGTGGGTATCATCAAAGGTCACTGTACGGTGAGGGCTATGACCTCGAAATGGGACAGCGACGACACTGACTACTGTAGGATTTGTCAAGATGAAGAAGAAATCGAGACATTCGAACACTTGCTCTGAAACTGCCCAGCACTCATTAATGTGAGACACAGGCTAGTGGGAGAACTAGTGTCACATGACCTGTCTGGTTTTTCTAACACTGACCCTATAGTAATCCTTCTATTAGCCAGAAGATTCAAGTGGCTAAAGACGACACGGCAAACTCCTCAGCCGCGGATCAAATTCTACAACTTTACCTTTTATCTTCACCTCTTCTACCAATCACATTTTCCTCTTTTCTTAACATTCTTTTTTAGGATGAACACAATGGACCTATAGGTCTCCGAGTGGAGCGGTTGCCATATGGTAACCGCGCGTCCTTTAACCTAACCTAACCTAACCTGGGGTTAATAAAAATATTGAGTTGTGTGAAATTTAAAGACAATCGGGCCCTTGCATCATGTGCATTACAACATTTTCTTTTTGAAAATTTCGACCTTTTGTGGGGGAGGTACCAGAAGGAGTGGACCGATATATTCCATCTTCACATCAGACTTTGGGTTAATAAATGTATTGTAATGTGTGTGAAGACAAGCGGACTATTAAATCACATTTTATAATAGTTATAATTATTGAAAATGTTGATCTTTTGTGTGGGGGGCCCTTGATGTAGTTTACCGATATTGTCCATTTTCGCACCTGACCTAGCACTGATGTGAATATTAGAATTTGCAAAGTCGGAGCAAAATCGGATTATTCTTTCTCTTTCTGTGCATTAAAATATTGTCTTTTTGAATTCGAATTTTGGGGGTCCAGAAGGAGTGGATCGATATTTCCCATCTCCGAACTCGATCTAAGCCAGACAGACAAACGGACGTAAGAACATCGCTAGGTCGACTCCAAATGTCCTGAAACGGATTTGTTCGAAAAATACCTAAGGTATAAAATCGGCAAAGATATTTCTGAGCTGTATTTGATATATTTCCCTGAATATCGTTGTTACGGAGTGCATATTACGGTTGTGGGTAACAAATATAACAAATCGGATGAATAATATAAATGGAAGCTATAGCTGTATCTGAAACGATCTTCACCAAATTTGACATACTAGCTTCTAGATTGAATTCGGTCGCACGAGCCAAATTCCGTCCCATTTAGACAAATATTAGACGTTTGGTGCACAATAAAAGTTAAATCGGACGAAGTTATATATGGGAGCTACATCCAAATCTGAACCGATCTCGATAAAATTTCGCAAATGTATTTCTGAGCTGTATTTGATATATTTCCCCAAATATTGTTGTTGCAGAGTACATATTGCGGCTGCGGAGGTCAAAAATAACTAATCGGATGAACAATATATATGTGGGAGCTATAGCTATATCTGAACCGATTTCGATCAAATTTGGCATACTTATTTTCAGGCCTAATTTGGTTGTATGTGCAAAATTCCATACTATTCGGGCTGGTATTACACGTTTGGTGCACAATAAAATGCAAATCGGACGAAGATATATATGGGAGCTATATCTAAATTTTGACTGATTATCTCCAATTTCAATAGGGTTCGTCCTTGGACCAAACAAATGATCTGTGCAAAATTTCATCTGGATCGGGCAATAAATGCGACCTGTACTTTGTTTACAAAAATACATGGACGGACGGACAGACGGACGGACGGACATGCATAAATCGACTCAGAATGTGATTCTATGCAGATCATCAAAAGGAACTATGGGTCTATCTCGTTTCCTTTTGTCTGTTACAAACAAATGCACAAAGACATAATACCCTGACCACCTTGTGGTGTAGGGTATAAAAACGGCACGAGTTTTCTGTTGATTATGAAGTGTCACAATTTGTTTACGTTTTGTTATTTTCGCTTACTGTACATTTCAATACAAATAAGTGTTATTCAGAATAGTCTGGTGCGACAAATGGAGCACCTATTGATTGTGCCATGATTGAACTTATGTGTTGTGGAAAAACAACAACTTACCTAACACGAACTGTCCAAATTTCCGAATTTTGATAAAATCGTCTGAAAGATTAAAACCATTTTGATGGCTTGACTGGATACATTTCTGACTGGACACATTTCATATCAGATATTGAGTAAACATGCATAGCAAGCGCTTCTAGATTTTAATGGCGCATTATTTCAGTTTCCATAGAACTAAAAAACATATTTTCCCAAAAATAAAAGCATGTCTCTCAAACATTAATCATAATTTCTATTAATTTTTTGTAGTTGATTCTGCTTTTCATTTTCTTTGGAATTTATACTCCCACCTCCAAGAGGTTTAGGAAAATGTAATTAATTTAATAGACATTCATGCAAATTGAAACATGATATACTTGCTGCTGTTTTTCTGGTTCCCTGTAATAAGTAATTAATGGCCATTGGTTTGATTCAAGAGAAGAAGAACAACATCCACTCCCCAAAACAAGTAAATACTAAATGTAATTCTCAAATATTTCGCATTAAATTAAAAAAGAAACGGAGGAGCACTTAATCTATTCCCCCTGCCCCAGAAAGGGAAATTGTTACCAAAAAAAAAAAAAAACAAGTAAAAAACCTGTAAGTTTGGCCGGGCCGAACTTTTAATACCCTCCACCATTTGGTACAAATGTGACAATTTCCAAAAAAAAAAAAATAAATAAATAAATAAAATCCGTTAAAAATTCTGTTAAAATCTTAAAAATACCGAATGCCTATACGAGGACGTGGACCTGCAAAGGCAACTTTTGTCCTAAGTTATTACAATATTTAAATGTGAAACTTGAAGAAAAATCTGTTTATAATGTAGCTAAAATCATCAAAACACCGAATATAGGGGGTACCGTTATATGGGGCTATACGAAGACGTGGACCTGCACAGACAATTTTCTGACATGAGCTGAAGTATCCATTACGAACTTCACATGCGAAATTTGAAACAATCCCGGTAAATAATGTCGCTAAAATCATCAAAATACCGAATATCGGGGGGTATGGTATATGGGGACTATACTAAGACGTGGACCTACATGGCCCATTTTCTGTTTTTTGCTGCAGCATCTATTACGAACTTCAAATGCCAACTTTGAAACGATTCGGGTAAATAATGTCGCTAAAATCATCAAAATACCGAATATCGGGGGGTATGGTATATGGGGGCTATACGAAGACGTGGACCTACACAGATTATTTTCTGTCTTAGGCTGTAGTATCCATTACGAACTTCAAATGCCAAATTTGAAACAATTCCGGTAAATAATGTTGCTAAAATCATCAAAATACCGAATATCGGGAGGTACCGTTATATGGGGGCTATATGATAACTTGGGCCTACATGGCCCATTTACGAACTTCACCTGCCTACTGGCAAAATATACATGTGTGCAAAATTTTAGCCTTCTATCTCAATTTGTTCGAAAGATAGCGTGATTACAACAGACAGACGGACAGACAGATAGGCAGACAGACAGACACACAGACAGACGGCATAGCTAAATCGTCTTAGAATTTTACGCTGATCAAGAATATATATACTTTGTTGGGTCTGACATGAGTATTTCGAGGAGTTACAAACGGAATGACAAAATTAATATACCCTCCGTAGTATGGTGGAGGGTATAAAAAAAAAACAGAGAACGCACACGAGCCTTAACTCAAACTACTATTCCAGGTGGCCGGGCTATAAATAACAAAAAACAATTCATTTGTAGAGTTTCTTTGTTGCCTCTTCTTCTTTATCTCCGTTTGCCAAAAAAACAAAAAATTCATGAATTAAGGCTCCAGGATGCAAACGGCTGGCTGTTGTTGTGTGAAGCCTCCAGGTTGGGAGAAGTACAAAATCAAAATGTCTTTACCAAAAACAAAACAGCAACGAAAACAACAACAGAAAAACAGAATTAAATATAACTTCAAAAGTTAAAACAAATGAATGGAGAAGAGTAACAATAAAAAAAACAACTGGTCGGGGTTTTACCTTCAGGTTAAAACAAGAAAAAATAATTTTCATTTTAAAATAAAGCCAAAAAATTACCACGTTGGTTTTCTTGGTTCTTATGGCAATTGCCAAGCATTAACAGATGTCAGATTTAAAAAAAAAGCAGCTCCACATTTGTTCTTTTTTGTCGGTTCAGTTCTAGAGGTTGGGGTGGGAATTTGGTTGGTTGTTTGCGATTGGATTCTGGTTTCATCTTCATTATTTTATTTTCTGGGATATTTATTTTCTATTTTTTGCTGCTGCTTTTGTTGTTGTTGTTTTTTGTTGGGAAACCTTAGCACAGATTAAAATTTTGCTGTTCTGCTCTGCTCTGCTTTCGGAACGAAATTTTTGTTATCTCCTTAAAATTCCAGGAATAGTTTAAAAATTACATTGAGCGCATATACTTTTTGCCTTGGTATTATCTCTGACAAAGTCATGTACGTTGAATTTTCCCGCATCACCCTGGTCATAGCCGCGACTTTTCAGTTGCCTGGAGATAGAAAAAAAAACAGGAATTCAACAGCATTAATTAGACTCAAAGTAAATATTTTATGTTAATTTAATTCAAGAGAAAATGTTGATAAAAAAAATAAAATTAAAATATATTTAACAGGACATCTGTCTATACAGGGTGAGATAAAAAAACTGCAAAAAAGTCAAACGCCATAATTTTTACATTCTTTTTTAAATTTTATTGAATAAAAGCAAAAAATGTCGGAAATAGCATCTAAATTTCAGAATAAGTTTTGATTTGTTCGAATTGGTCACCTTTGGCACGAATTATGGCCTTCAAACGGCCAATGAAACCGTCACACGCAGTCCGAATGTTGCTCTACGGTATTTTGGCAAAATCCCGGCTAAGCGCTTGCTTGAGGTGATCGACACTTTGGTATTTTTTAGTGCCAACCTTGCTTTCCAAAAAACTCCAGATACAATAGTCCAACGGATTGGTAACCGGAGATTTTGATGGCCGTTGTGCGCTGGAAATGAAGCGAGGAACCTAATTTTGTAACCATTCTTGGGTGGTGCGTACTAAGCGCGAGGGTGCTGAGTCCTGTTGAAATGTCCAAGGTCTGCGGCCAAATATTTGCGTGCCCAAGGCTTTAATAAACCCTCCAGAATATTTTCGCGATAATATTTGGCATTTATTCTGTTGCCACGGTCGATTAATACGAGCGGAGAGCGACCATCGCAGCCCACACCATCACCGTGGTCGGCGCTTGAGTTCTGGCCAACCGAAGGTGATCATTTTCAGCTCACCTGTTTGGCAAGTAAGCACGATCATTTTGTTTGTTTACAACTGCTGGACAACGAATGTCTTCTCATCGGAGAAAACCGAACTCAGCAGTTCGCGAAGCAACGCTTTAGCTCTTTTGTGTCTATTTCCTTTTAGTTGCGATGTAAGTTCTTGCACTTTCTGGAATTTTAATGGCTTTACCCCGAGCTAATTTGCGAATGGAATATTGCGATATGTTCAGCTAACGAGCCATTTTTCGGCCACTGCGACGCGGATTTCGAACAAGTCAAGCCATTTGTGGTTTTCCATCCAAATATAAAGAAATCAGCTTGAATTCCATCACGAATAACTTTTTTTCAGGAAAATTCTCACCAAAATGCTTTTGTACTCTGGTAAACAATATATTGAGCTGTCACTGAAATAATTTTAACAGCTGTCGGACTAGTGGCTTGGAAATGATAGAAGTCTGAAGTTGGTTGCAGTTTTTTTCATCTCACCCTGTTGAAGGACATTAACAACGTCCATAAAATACCTTTAAACAGTCTTCAATGTGTAGAGGACATTGTATGGGTCTTCTATAGATGACCTTAAAAAGAAGACTTGTTTAATGGTCTTCTATAAAGATCTACTATAATCAGACTTCCATTTAAAGAGAGAATTCCCATTAAAGGTTCTTCAAGATAGAACTTCTATACCCAGAAGAGCCTTCATTGACCTTCTGTAGACAGATAATAAGGTATATGGACTAAACACATTTCATATATTTTTAGACAGATGACTATTCATCGGGCCTTCTATATAAGAAAACATTTTACAGGTCTTCTATAGACAGAACCACTTTTATATGGTTTATAGACAGAAGAGGTTTTTAAATATGAAGAAAGCCACCTAAACACAGGCCTGCAAAGAGTTTCCCGTCCATAAAAACCATTTAAAAGATCTTCTTTCTATAGAATACTTGTTTGTGACCTCCTGGCTTTAGACGACCTTAAAAGGGGCTGTTTTCTATGGAAGACATGTGAAAAGTCCTCCGATTATAGAAGACATAAAAGTAAGTAAATCTTAAGAACCGGTTCAAGGCCTCCTTCTTTAAAGAACTATCAAATTTGGAAAAAAAAAACTTTGAATCGATGTACGGAACAGAATCGAGTTTCCCGGGCTCAAATACCCATATCTCTGGATCCAGGAAAGATAAGTGGCACATATGTTATGGACTCCCATAATGAAGACTTTCTCTTTTGGGTCCTATAAAAAAGTCGGATCCAAAAAATCAGTATTTAGATTCAACTCCTAAATTGTTTAAATAACGTCATAATGTGATTTTCCGGAATCAGTGTGCAAATAACTACCTGTGGAAAAAATTAAAAAAAATCGGATAGTTTTTATTAGGTCAGAGTTGTTCCAAAACCGGTTAACAAAACGGTAAGTAAGTAAGTAAGTATCAAATGTAGAAGGATTTTAGTTCGCTTAGGCGGTGTTGGACATATACAGCGGAGTAAATCTTAAGAACCGGTTAAAGGCCGCCTTCTTTAAAGAAGTATTAAATTTAGAAAAAAATACTTTGCATCGATGTACGGAACAGAATCGAGCTCCGGACCCATATCTCTGGATCCAGGAAAGATAAGGGCACATATTTACGGTAACCTAAATAAAGGGAAGAAGTTTCTCCCTCTTTCATATGTTTTGAAATTTTCGGATTAAAATTCCTTGAAAACCTTAAATGTCCCTTTTTTAACCCTCCACCAAAAAAGTATGGAGGGTATATTAAGTTCGTCATTCCGTTTGTAACTCATCGAAATAATCATTTTAGACCCAACAAAGTATATATATTCTTGATCAGCGTAAAATTCTAAGACGATTTAGCCCTGTCCGTCCGAATTAAGATAGGAAGCTAAAATTTTGCACAGATCTCTCTTTTGTCTGCAGGCAGGTCAAGTTTGAAGATAGGCTATATCGGTCCACGATATCGTATAACCCCCATATAACGGTACCCCCGATATTCGGCATTTTGATGATTTTATCCACATTTTTCAATGGAATGGTCTGAAATTCCACAAAAGGAGTCCCTTGTGGGCATTTTACCCCCTCAAAACGAATTGTCTATATAGGTCCACGATATCGTATATCCCCCATATAACTGTTCCCCCCGATATTCGGTATTTTGATGATGTTAGCCACACTTTTCAATGGAATTGTCTTAAAATCCACACAAGTAGTTCCTTGTGAGTACTTCACCCCCTGAGAGAGAATTGTCTATACAGGTTCACGATATCGTATATCCCCCATATAACGGTACCCCCGATATTCGGTATTTTTATGATTTTACCCACATTTTTCATCGGAATTGTCTGAAAATTCACACAAGGAACTCCTTGTGAGTACTTTACACGCAGACATAGATTTGTCTTTATAGGTCCACAATATCGTATATCCCCTCATATATCGGCACCTTCCTATATTAGATATTTTAAAGATTTTAAATGAATTTTTAATGGATTTTATTTTTTGAAAATTTTCTAATACGTTCCAAATGGTGGAGCGTATTCAAAGTTCGGCCCGGCCGAACTTACTGCTTTTTTACTTGTTTTAAGAAAGATGGTTCAAAACCTTTTTAAAGCGCTCGTGAGAAGAATGCATAAAAACTCTAAATCTTATCTAAATGACAGGAATTTATAAACATTAAGAAGTAAAAAAGCAGTAAAATACCCTACACCATTTGGAACAAATTTGGAAATTTAAAAAAAAAAATCCGACCGAATATACCCGTAATATTGGGGTCTATACGAAGACGTGGACCTGCATAGGCAATTTTGTACTAGGCCATTACAATATTCAAATACGAAACTTGAAAAAAAATCCGGTGAAATCAAAATTATTAAAATTCCACATAGAAGGAGGTACTGTTGTATCGCAGCTATACGAAGACATAGACCTGCATAGACAATTTTGTGTTACAGGCTGTAGTACCTATTAGGAACTTCAAATTCGAAATTTCAAAAAATTTCGGTGAATATTTACCTAAAATCGTCAAAATTCCGAATATATGAGACCTCTACGAAAACCTGGACCTGCATAAACAATTTTCTGTCATAGACTGTAGTTCCCATTATGAACTCTTAATACGAAATTTAAAAACAACTCCGGTGAATAATGCCGCTAAAATAATCAAACTACCGAATATTGGGAGGTACCTTTATATGGAGGCCATACATATCGGGGATCTATATAGACATTTCTCTTCCAGTGGGTAATGTAATCTGAAGGAACTCCTTTGGTGGATTTTCAGACAATTTCATCGGAGGGGAGTACCGTTATAAGGGATCTATACGATATCATCGACCGATATAGCCCACATTCGAACTTGGCCTGCCTGCAGACTGAGGACTGATCTGATTTTAGCTTCCTATCTGTATTCGTTTTGATTCTAGCGTGATTATAACAGACGACCGGACAGGGCTAAATCGTCTTAGAACTTTACGAACTTGGATCAAGAATATATATACTTTGTTACGTGTCAAACCCCCCATACTATATGTGGTGGAGAAACTTGTGGGAAAACTAGCCCCCTTCCTTTGCTTTACGTATTTACGTGTTTTTTATACTCTCCACCTTGAAAAGGAGGGTATATTAACTTTTTCATTTATTTTGTATCTGGGATGATTGGTATTGAAAACAAGTTAAAAAGGTATCAGTCGGCATTGCCACCAGATATATACCCTCAGCCTATGTTCGATTATTAAAATATATTTCGACTAGTGTTAAGAATATTCAAACGTTTGACCCTCTATGGAGCAGATCCCGAAGGAATGGGCCAATATTGCGCATTTCCTATCGGACCCAAAAATATGATATAAATATTTCGACAGATGTGCCAAGTCTAAATGGAATCGGATGTTAATTTGGCGTTTTATTGGCTTCATGGGTACTCAAAATTTCAATATTTAGTGGGGGAGGTACCAGAAGGAGTGGATCGATGTATTCCCCCTTCACACCAGACAATGGGTTAATACAAATATTAGGATGTGTGAAATTTGAAGACAATCGGACTCTTACATCACATTTTATGAGAGTTGTAATTATTCAAAATTTTGACCATTTGCGGGGGAGGTACTTGATGGAGTGGACCACACCTGACCTAGTACTGACGCAAATTTTAGGATATGCAAAGTTGGAGCAGAATCGGTATATCCTTTCTCTTTCTGTGCAAAAAATATATTTTTTGAAGATTTCGACCTTTTGTGGAGGAGGTACCAGAAGGAGTGAACCGATATTGTTCATCTTAACACCAGACCTTGGGTTAATATAAATATTGGGATGCGTGAAATTTGAAGACAATCGGACTTTTACATCACATTTTATGAGAGTTGTAATTATTCAAAATTTTGACCATTTGCGGGGGAGGTACTTGATGGAGTGGACCGATATTGTCCATTTTCACACCTGATCTAGCGCTGAGGCAAATATTAGGATTTGCAAAGTTGGAGCAAATTCAGATTATCCTTTCTCTTTCTGTGCAAAAAATATATTTTTTGAAAATTTCGACCTTTTGTGGGGGAGGTACCAGAAGGAGTGGACCGATTGTTTGACAAAAATATTACGATGTAACCAATTTGGACCAAATCGGATACTCCTTTCGAGAGTAATCGTGCGCACCAGCCAGCCAGACAGACAGATGGACGGACGGACGGACGGACATCGCTAGATCGACTCCAAATGTTCTGAAACGGATTTGGTCCAAAGAGACCTAGGGTCTAAAACCGTTATTTCGACTAGGCACGTTTTGACCGTATCAAATGATATATACCCTAGGCACGTTTTTGCCATATGGCTGAGGGTATAATGAGATATGTTGGTCCACGTTTTGATATAGCCGCCATGTATTCGGTATTTTGATGATTGTTGCCACATTTTTCAAGGATTTGTCTAAAAATTGGTATTTGTAGTTCATAGTGGGTTCTATTTTCGGTAGCGGAACATTGTATGTATAGGTCGACGTTTTTGTATAGCCCCCATTTAACGGAACCTTCTGATATTCCGTATTTTGATGGTTTTTAGCTACATTTTCCACGGATTTGTTCAAAAATTGTTATTTATAGTTCGCAATGGGTTCTGGCTCCGGTGGCGGAACATAGTATATATAGGTCCACGTTTTCGTGTAGCCCCCACATAATGGGACCTCCGGATATTTAGTATTTTGATGATTTTTGCCACAATTGGTATTTGTGGTTCATAATGGGTTCTAGCTCCGGTGGCAGAACGTTGAATATTAAGGTCTATGTTTTCCCATAGCGCACATATAACGATACCCACCGAAATTCGTTATTTTAACAATCTTAGTCATATTTACCCATGAAATTGTTTCAAATTTGGGATTTAAGAAGATTTGGTAGATGACAATCCTTGAAGTATAAAATTGTCTATAGAGGTTCCCGTTTTGGAACAGCCCCCATATAACGGCCTCACCCTCTTTATGGTTTTTTGAAAAGTTTAATAGCATTACCCAAACGGTCTTACTGATATTTGTAGTTTAAAGTAGAACACGTTTAATTTCAGATATTTTTATATAAAAATGTTTTCTTCACCCATGGGTGGAGGGTATTAAAAGTTCGACCCGTCCGAACTTTATGTTTTTGTACTTTTTATACCCTACACCACAAGGTGGTCAGGGTATTATGTCTTTGTGCATTTGTTTGTAACAGGAAAAAGGAAACGAGATAGACCCATAGTTCCTTTTGATGATCTGCATAGAATCACATTCTGAGTCGATTTATGCATGTCCGTCTGTCCGTCCGTCCGTCTGTCCATGTATTTTTGTAAACAAAGTACAGTTCGCATTTATTGCCCTATCCTGATGAAATTTTGCACAAATCATTTGTTTGGCCTAAGGACCCTATTGAAATTGGAGATAATCGGTCAAAATTTAGATATAGCTCCCATATATATCTTCGTCCGATTTGCCTTTTATTGTGCACCAAACGTGTAATATCAGCCCGAATAGTATGGAATTTTGCACGTATGATCAGATTGGACCTAAAAATAAGTATGCTAAATTTGATCGAAATCGGTTCAGATATAGCTATAGCTCCCATATATATTGTTCATCCGATTTCTTATTTTTGTCCTCCGCAGCCGTAATATGCACTCTGTAACAACAATATTTGAGGAAATATATCAAATGCAGCTCAGAAATACATTTGCTAAATTTTATCGAGATCGGTTCAGATTTGAATATAGCTCCCATATATAACTTCGTCCGATTTACCTTTTATTGTACACCAAACGTCTAATATTTGCCCAAATTAGATGAAATTTGGCACTTTCGACCGAATTGAGTCTAGAAGCTAGAATGTCAAATTTGGTGAAGATCGGTTCAGATATAGCTATAGCTCCCATATATACTGTTCATCCGATTTGTCATATTTGTTACCCACAGCCATAATATGCACTCCATAAGATTCAGGGAAATATATCAAATACAGCTCAGAAATATCTTTGCCAAATTTTATCGAGATTTGAATATAGCTCCCATATATATTTTTATCCGATTTCAAATTAATTGTGTACCAAATGGACAATACAAGTCCGAATATAAAATATACAAATGCCTCGGCATATTTAGTCCTTTGAACTTTAAATTATAATTATAATCATGGCGTGTATGATTGAATTCTCCCATAAAAACTTTTAATTGTTATGCGGAGCTCTACTGAATTAGCAAAGTGGTGTAGGGTATCATAAAGTCGACCCCGTCCGACTTTAAGACTTTCTTTACTGGTTCTATTTGAAACTCTACGTCCATAAACTATTTGATTTTTTTTACCATATTATGTGTCCCAGTTAAAACATTGTCTTGATCGCAATCTGCCCTAGTCTGCCTATGGAAGACCTATAATATCCTCTCTAAAAATATCTTATCTTTGTCTTAAAATCTACCAAAACCCTCTAAAAGGACTTCCATCTATAGAAGATCTAGGAAGATTGTATAATTCCCATTCATGTTCCTTTTTCATTTTCCCCATCTCCAATCTGCTGTCACACTGTCTTATTCAAAGTTTGAAAATTGAATTTAACACTTTTCATCATTGACCAGTCGGAATAACAAAATTATCCTAATATGCAAAATATATCCCAATAACTTTTCTCCAACAATTCTTTGTTTAAATTTTAATTCAATTTGCTTTCATTCGGTTTTTTTTTGTGAGCAACAAAAATTGTATACTTTGCAAAATTGTTGTTGTTGCTGCTGCTCAAAACTTTTCTTTATGACTTTGTCAAGATTTAACACTTTCAGTTTCGTTTTAACTAACCTGGCAACAGTTTGAAATGCCAATTCCACATTCAACCCGGTTTTGGCTGATGTCTCCATAAAGGGTACATTGTGTTCACGTGCCAAGCGCTCGCCATCTTCCCGCTTCACTTGCCGGTCGCTGCTGCTGCAATCCGCCTTGTTGCCTATTCGAGAACACATTTAGGGTTAAGAAGAAGACAGACGGGGTTGGGGGGGGGGGGGAGAGAGAGAAAAAGTGAATTGCGTTAATTTAATTAAATTATTGAAGTTTTTCTTTTCTTTTGTTTTTTTTTGTGTTCTTTTCTATGCAAATTTGTTACTTTTGTGGGAGAAAATTCGTTACACGTGCGGTTAGTTATCCCAGCCGCCAACACTTACCGATGAGAACAATAACCACATCTTCTTGGGCACAATCTCGTATTTCACATAACCAGGCTCTGATGTTATCATAGGTTGTTTTATTGGTAACATCGTAGAGCAGAAGTAAAGCTGAAATGAGGAAAAATAAATAACAAAAATTGATTTGGGCGGTACAGTTTAGGTTTGGTTTAGTACTTATTTATTTTTTATTAGATTTCATATCGTATCTAGGAAAGGGAAAATACTAACACAATTACAGTACGTTTACATATAAATGGGTTAACCCACTGGATTTGGATTAAAATTGTCATATCCATTACTTATACTTCAAATAAATCCTCTTGAAGTAGGTTAACCCTGCAAAAAGTTCTAACGTAAACATGGCATTAGACTCATTTTACGTCTAAAGGTTTTCCACAAAAAAAAAAAAAAAAACCGAAATACTAATTTTCAGCCAATCGGTTAAGACTCTCGAAATAATTAACCAGGGCGTCTTTATATAACGAACTTTATAAAAACGTAGATTTATATTGATAATTTTTTGCATATAAGGTTCCTCCAAAAAAACAATTAAAAATATCGAAAAAAAAAGAGTTGGAAGCATATTTCGCTTTCTTTGAGCGAATTGTTTTTCAAAATCTTGAACCCTATGTGGGGGAGGTACCAGAAGAAATTATCCGATCTCTATGATCTTTATAACAGATTTTGTGTTTGGTGGAAACATTGAGATGTACCAAGTGGTAAAAAACATTGAGCTTTGGGTGTGGAGGTACCAGGAGGTGGACCGATATATCCCCGATATATACCGATATATCTCCACACCAGACAATGGGTTAATAAAAATATTGTGATGTATAATATGAAGAGAACCGGATGCTTATTTCGGACTTCATGATCGTTTTGGTTACTCAAAACTCTGACCCTTTGTGGGGGAGGTACCAGAAGAAATCGTCCGATCTCTATGGTCTTTATAAGATATCTTGTGTTGTTGGAAATATTGAGATGTACCAAGTCTGAATGGAATCAGATGTTAATTTCCCATTTTATGAGCTTCATGGAAAAAATTTGACCCTTTGTGGGAGAGGTACCAGGAGGGAGAGGTACCGATGTATCCCATCTTCACACCAGACATTGAATTAATAAAAATATTGTGATGTGTGTAATTTGAAGAGAACCGGATGCTTGTTTCGGACTTTATGATCATTTTGGTTACTTAAAAGTTTGACCCTTTGTGGGGGAGGTATCAGAAGGAATGGTCCGATCTCTACGATCTTTATAACTGTTTGTGTGTTGATGGAAATATTGAGATGTGCCAAGTCTGAATGGAATCGGATGTTAATTTTGCGTTTTATAAACTTCAGGAATATTCAAAATTTTGACGCTTTGTAGGGTGGGCCGATATATTCAATCTTTACAGCAGACCTTGGGTTAATAAAAATATTGTGATGTGTGTAATTTGAAGAGAACCGGATGTTTATATCTGACTTAATGATCATTTTGGTTACTCAAAACGTTGACCCTTTGTGGGGGAGGTATCAGAAGGAATTGTCCCATCTCTACGATCTTTATAACTGATTGTGTGTTAATGGAAATATTGAGATGTGCCAAGTCTGAATGGAATCGGATGTTAATTTTGCGTTTTATAAACTTCAGGAATATTCAAAATTTTGACACTTTGTAGGGGAGGTACCAGAAGGAGTGGGCCGATATATTCAATCTTTACAGCAGACCTTGGGTTAATAAAAATATTGCGAGGTGCGTAATTTGGAAGAGAACCGGATGCTTATTTCGGACTTTATGATCGTTTTGTTTACTCAAAACTTTGACCCTTTGTGGGGAGGTATCAGAAGGAATGGTCCGATCTCTTTATAACAGATAGTGTGTCAAATACCATAATTATTCCAAATTTTGACCCTTTGTGGGAGAGGTTAATTTTTGCACCTGACCTAGAACTGATGGAAATATTAGGATTTGCAAAGTTGTAGCAAAATCGGGTTATTCCTTTTCTTTCTGTGCAGCAAATTATTTTCTTTGAAAATGTTGAAATTTTGTCCATCTCCGAACTCGATCTAAGTTTGACAAAAATTATACGATGTACCAAGTTTGGACCAAATCGGATACTCCCTTCGAGAGACATCTCTAGATCGACTTCAAATGTTCTGAAACGGATTTGGTCCAAAGAGACCTAGGGTCTAAAACCGTTATTTAGATGAGGCATGTTTTGGCCGTATCAAATGATATATATCCTCTCTAGACATATTGTCAATTGATGGCTTCGGTTTTATTAAAACAAGTAAAAATGCTGTAAGTTCGGCCGGGCCGAACTTTGAATACCCTCCACCATATGGAAAGAATTTGGCAATTTTCAAAAAATAAAATCCGTTTACGATTCTGCTTAAATCTTAAAAATACCGAATATAGCCATTATATTAGGGTCTATACGACGACGTGGACCTGCATCATCAAAATACCGAATATAGGGAGGTACTATTATATGGGAGCTATACAAAAACTTGGACCTGCACAGACAATTTTCTGTCATAGGCGAATTTCAAATACAAACATTTGAAGCAATTCCGGTGAATAATGTCGCTAAAATCATCAAAATACCAAATATCGGGAGGGCTATACGAAGACGTGGACCTGCTGCACAGATAATTTTGTGTCTTAGGCTGTAGTATCCATTACGAACTTCAAACACCAAAATATGAAACAATTCAGGTGAATAATGTCGCTAAAATCATCAAAATACCGAATATCGGAAGGTACCGTTATATATGGGGCTATACGACACTTTCACAGACACTTTTCTGTCTTATGCTGTAGTATCCATTACGAACTTCAAATACCAAATTTGAAACAATTTCGGTGAATAATGCCGCTAAAATCATCAAAGTACCCAATTCGGGAGATACCTTTATATAGGGGCTATACCAAAACGTGGATCTACACATAGCATTCAGTACCAAGAATCCTGCAGTAATAATATATATTTGAGTAAAATTTTATCAACCTACTTCTATTCGTTCGGAAGCTAGAGTGATTTCAACAGACGAACATCGCTAAATCGACATAGAATTGTATGTTGATCCAGAATATATGGGGGTCTAAAATGTATATTTCGAGGGGTTACAATCGGAATGACCAATTTAATATACCCTCCATACTATGTCAAATGGTAGCGCTGATTGTTTTTAAAAAAAAATATTTATCGAAAAGCCACGATAGTGATTCTGATGAGCCTTAAAAATGTTAAAAAATAATCCAAGTTTATGAATCTGATTGTTCGAGATTTTCTTTTTTAAATTCACGTTAGGTGGCTCTAAGGTCGTTGAAAACATTTGAAAGGCCTACATTTGTGACTCTGATTGTCCTTCAAAAGCATTTTTTAACAAATTCACTTTTATGACTCTGACAGCCCTTGAAAAAATAATCTGAGTACCTGCGGACGCTTTTTAAAACTTTCCAATTCTGTAACTCTAATGGTCCTTGGGGAAAATATTCAAAAAAAAAACGTTAGTAATTCTGAGGGTCCTTAAAAAGTATTCTTAAAAAATCCACGTTTGATAACTGAAAAAATGTTCTTAGAAATCTAAGTTTGAGATCCTAATAGTCTTTCAAAAATATTTTCAATATTTTGTGATTATCTTCAAATTTCCGAGCGGTTTTAAAAAAAGGTTACAAGATTCAAATAGAAGCTGACTTGAATATCGTATTCATTAATTCAATGCCATTCTAGAAAATCACCTATAACATACAAATACATACCATGAGCATCTCTGTAATAAGCATGAGTAACACTGCGAAAACGTTCCTGGCCGGCTGTATCCCAAATTTGCAATTTCACTCGGGTGCCATCCACAACCACCACTTTATTCTAAAAAACATAAATTTTAATAAAATAATTTTTCAAAGAAAATTGGTAAGATTTAATAAAACTTGTTTTTTTGTAACTCTGCCGTAGTATTAAATAAATTACTCCTTTATTTTTTCAAAATTACTTCCACACCAAGGAATTGACTTAAAAACTTATTTTATTTATTTAATTTAGACAAGGATAAACATTTATCTACACACACACACACATCACAATGAATATTTAATAAATTGTTAGTTTATTTAACAAAAAACATACTCTTGAATATTTAACTAGACTATGAAAATATTATTTTTAACACTGGGACACACACACATACATACAAACACGCCGAGAGTGACCGACAGCCACATTATTATATTTACACCAAACTGAAACTAGAACGAGAAGCCATCAACAGATTTCATACATAGATAGGTTTGATTATGAATGTAACAATGTGAACAAACAAGCACAGCAACAGCAACAACACTAACAACAACACTAAAAAAATGAGTGTGTGTTTTTTATTCAACAACACATATATTGACATTTATAGAAGAGAGATGACATTTACACAATGTTGATAGATATGTAGGTTGTAAACTTTTTCTATACCTGCCACCCAGATGGACAGTCTGCTAGCCTGTCTATCAACGAAGATGGACAGACAGCTGAACTGCTTTTCAGTCATTCCGGCTGTCTGTCTGCCGTTGGCTTTTTTTTCTCTTTCCTGGGTATGTTGACATACGTGCTATGCCCATACGAAGGTTTTTTTTTTTAATAAAAATGATATGATATTGATAGAAATACATGTCAATAGGGCCATGGAATTGAGATATTAGGGTTGGTAAAATATGCACTTGAACAAAAATATTGGGAGGCCAGCTGATCTTCCCTAACAAGACATTTTGGTCTACTCGCAGAAGACTTGGTGGTGAGTCCCTCATAGAAAAGTTGAAGGTCATATTAGATATCGTAACCTTCTCATTGCTGACCTGGTGGTCATCTCACAGAAGACCTGGTGGACTTCTCATAAAAGACCTGGTGGCTGATAGTTTTCTCATAGGCTAATCTTCTCACAGAAGACTAGGCTACTTCACTCAAAGACGACCGGATCTTTATGGAAAAAATAACTGGTGGGGTTCTTTTCATAGAAGACCTCGAGGTCTTCTTCCTAGAGGTCTTCTCATAGAATACTTGTATTGCTTCTCTTAGAAGACCTGTAGGCCTTCTCATAGAAGACCTGGAAGACATCTCTTAGGAGACCTGGAGACTTCTCTTAAGAGAGCTAGAGTTCTTCTCTTAGAAGACGTATTGGCTTCCTCATAGATGACCGGAAGTTTTCTTATAGTTGACCTGAATGTGTTATCATAGTAGACCTGATCTGATGATGATCTTCTCACAGAGAACCTTATGGTCTTCCCATAGAAGATCTGATGGTCTTCTTTATAGAAGACCTGGAGGTCTTCTTCATAGAAGACCTGGAGGTCTTCTTCATAGAAGACCTGGAGGTCTTCTTCATAGAAGACCTGGAGGTCTTCTTCATAGAAGACCTGGAGGTCTTCTTCATAGAAGACCTGGAGGTCTTCTTCATAGAAGACCTGGAGGTCTTCTTCATAGAAGACCTGGAGGTCTTCTTCATAGAAGACCTGGAGGTCTTCTTCATAGAAGACCTGAAGGTCTTCTTCATAGAATACCTGGAGATCTTCTTCATAGAATACGTGGAGGTCTTCTTCTTCATGGAAGACCTTGAGGTGGTGAGATTAGGAGGTGGTCTTCCTCATGGAAGACTAGAAGGCGGTCTTCATCATAGAAGACCAGAAAGCGGTCTTCTTCTTAGAAGACCAGGAGGTGGCTTTTTGATAGAAGATCGGTCCTCCGGAGGCGATCTTCTTCATAGAAGACCTGGAGGTCTTCTTCATAGAAGACCTGGAGGTCTTCTTCATGGAAGTCCTTGAGGTGGTCTTCTTCATGGAAGACTATGATTTGGCCTTCCTGATGGAAGACTAGGAGGTAGTCTTCCTCATAGAAAACATGGAGGCGGTCTTCTTCATAGAAGACCAGGAGGCGGTCTTTTGATAGAAGATTGGCCCTCCGGAGGCAGTCCAGGAGTTGGTCTTCTTCGTAGAAGACCAGAAGTTGGTCTTCTTCATAGAAGACCTGGAGTTTGTTTTCTTCTAGAAGACCAGGAGTTGATCTTCTTCGTAGAAGACCAGGAGTTGGTCTTCTTCGTAGAAGACCAGGAGTTGGTCTTCTTCGTAGAAGACCAGGAGTTGGTCTTCTTCGTAGATGACCAGGAGTTGGTCTACTTAAGAGAAGACCAGGAGTTGGTCTACTTAAGAGAAGACCAGGAGTTGGTCTTCTTCGTAGAAGTCCTGGTGTTGATGGAGGTGGTGGCCTTCTTTATAGAAAACTAGGAGGTGGCATTCTTTATAGAAGACCAGGAGATGGCCGTCTTCATAGACGTCAAGGAGGTGTCCTTCTTCATAGAAGACCAGGAGGCGGTCTTCTTCATAAAAGACCAGGAGGCGATCTTCTTCTTAGAAGACCAGAAGGCGGTCTTCTTCATAAAAGACCAGGAGGCGGTCTTCTTCATAGAAAACCACGAGCCGGTCTTCTTTATAGAGAACATAGTGCTTCTTTACGTAGCCCTCAGAATTTGGGTGGAATAGTGTCCTTAAATCTAATTGGGATTACTCCACCCTAATATTTTAGAAAAAAATACAATTTTCCCCCTTTTATCCCCACCCTCACTATGTACACATTCGTTACACATGAGAGGAAATGTTACATACATATTTACCGATGACAACGACTCTTTTATATTTCTATGATGTTACTGACTGATATCGATAATATGGATGCTGATGCTGATGATGTGGTTGTGCCTTTGGGGTTTTTTATTCTCTCTAAACGAATAAAAAAGGACACAAAGGATTTATGGTACAACCATGTGAAACCTCCCAACTAGTTTTGCATATTGAACCAAATTTAATAAACAAAAGTATGTTTTTAATCTGCTTTATCGGGTTAAAGTTGCAATGCATCGAGCCCCGTCTCCCATTCTTAGGAAGGAATGTATTTGCGCATGGAATGTCCATGTCAGAAAGTAAACCAGCGTGGACATGTAATAAAGGGAGACATTGAATAGAATAGCGCGAAATGTCAACTGTCAGTTGTGCTGGGGGGAAATCGTAAGGAGATGTATAGACATATATAATGTAAATATTTTCCGAGTTGCAAATAATGCATAAAATATTGAAATAATAATAAAAATAATAATAAAATAATAATAATAATAACAATAATAATAATAATAATAATAATAATAATAATAATAATAATAATAATAATAATAATAATAATAATAATAATATAATAATAATAATAATAATAATAATAATAATAATAATAATAATAATAATAATAATAATAATAATATAATAATAATAATAATAATATATATAATAAAATAATAATAATAATAATAACAATAATAATAATAACAATAATAATAATAATAATAATAATAATAATAATAATAATAATAATAATAATAATAATATAATAATACTAATAATAATAATAATAATAATAATAATAATAATAATAATATAATAATAATAATAATAATAATAATAATAATAATAATATAATAATAATAATAATAATAATAATAATAATCATAATAATAATAATAATAATAATAATAATAATAATAATAATAATAATAATAATAATACTAATAATAATAATAATAATAATAATATAATAATAATAATAATAATAATAATAATAATAATATACTAATAATAATAATAATAATAATAATATAATAATAATAATAATAATAATAATAATAATAATAATAATAATAATAAATAATAATAATAATAATAATAATAATAATAATAATAATAATAATAATAATAATAATACTAATAATAATAATAATAATAATAATAATAATAATAATAATAATACTAATAATAATAATAATAATAATAATAATAATAATATAATAATAATAATAATATAATAATAATAATAATAATAATAATAATAATATAATAATAATAATAATAATAATAATAATAATAATAATAATAATATAATAATAATACTAATAATAATAATAATATAATAATAATAATAATAATAATAATAATAATAATAATAATATAATAATATAATAATAATAATAATAATACTAATAATAATAATATAATAATAATAATAATAATAATAATAATAATAATAATAATAATAATAATAATAGTAATAATACTAATAATAATAATACTAATAATAATAATAATAATAATAATATAATACTAATAATAATAATAATAATAATAATAATAATAATAATAATAATAATAATAATATAATAATAATAATAATAATAATAATAATAATAATAATAACAATAATAATAAACAAAAGGGCGTTATTTTTTTTTTTTTTGGGAGATGAAATTCCCTTCCTGACTTCAATTCAGCAGCAGAATAAAAGTTATTCGTGATGGAATTCAACCATCGCTGGTTACAGTGATACTGGTAGCGTAGCCCGACGGAATTGGACGGAAGAAAACAGCAACATCAGCAGAAATGGTTCGAAAAGTAAAGAAGCGACTTGCTCGAAACCCGCGTCGCAGTGGCCGAAACACCGCTCGTGAGCTAAATATATCGCAATATTCCATTCGGCAAATATTGAAAAATTAGCTCGGGGCAAAGCCATTCCAAAAAGTTCAAGATCTTACACCGCGACAGAAAGAAAATAGACTCAAAAGAGCTAAAGAGTTGCTTCGTTTGGCCGAAAGTGGTGAACTGACGAATTTGGCTTTCTCCGATAAAAAAAACATTCGTTTTCCAGCAGTTTGTAAACAATCAAAATGATCGTGTTTACTTGCCAAAGAGGTCAGCTGAAAATGTGAACCTTTGGTTATCCACCAGAACTCAAGCAGCGGCCATGGTGATGGCCTGCTTGTATTAATCGACCGTGGCATCAGAATTACT